CCACTTGGGCCATCATGGGGCTCTCTTGGGGGCCTCTTGGGCGATCTTGGGGGCTTCTTGGGCCGTCTTGAGCCGTCGGAGAGCCGAAAAGGCGCAAATGCCAAAATCCTTCAAAAAAAAAATCAATGATTGATTTTGGCCTCTTCGGACTCTCCTGGAGGACCTCTTGGAGGCCTCTTGGGCCGTCTGGGAGGCCTCTGGGGGGCCTCTTGGGCCGTCTTGGGCCATCTTGAGGCTATCTTAGGCCGTTTTGGGTACATCTTGGGCCGTCTTGGAGGCATCTAAAGGCCATCTTAGCCGTCTTGGAGACCATCTTGGCCATCTTGGAGGCATCTTGGAGGCCAGTTCGAGCCATCTTGGAGGATTTTTTCCGGTCGTTGAGCACGTTTGGGGGCCTTCCGGGTGGCCGGCGGGTTCTGCCGGAGCCCATTGGGGAGTTCTTTTAGAAAAAGAACCAAAACCAAAACTGAAACATCCAGCACGCCGTGCACCCCTGCAAGCAGGGGGCGGCGGATCCTAGTGGCCTTCGGCCCATCCCGCCACCGTGTTTGGGTTGTGGGTCTGAGGCCTCTTGTATATGTATTGGGGTGTCGTGGGGAGCCTCTCGGGGGCCTCGTGGGGTATCTGTTGGGCCTCTTAGAGGCTTCTGTGACGCGTCTTGGGCGCCTCTTGGGGCCTCTTGGGGCCTCCAGGGGGCTTCTCGGAACGCTTTTTGGGCCATCTTGGAGCTCTCTCGGGCCGTCTTGGGGCCCTCTTGGAGGCGTCTAGGGCTGTCTTGGGGCGGTCTTGGGAGCTTCTTGAGCCATCTTGGTGCGTCGGAAAGCCGAAAATCCGAGAAAGCCAACATCCTTCAAAATCTGGTTGTAAAATCGACGAGGTTGGCCTCTTGGGGCTCTCTCGGGAGGCCTCTTGGAGCGCTCTGGGGGCCCTCTTCGGCCGTCTTGGAACTATCTTCGGGCGCCTTGGAGCCCTCTTGGCCTCGGCAATGCGAATACGGCGTAAGTTGCAAGTGTATCTGCCCTCGTGGACGCGAATGTTCAAAAATAAAAAAGGTTTGTTGCCTCGGGGACGCAAGAATTTAGCAATTTGCAAGTGTTTGTGGCCTCGGGGACGCGAATCTTGCGTAATGTACGAGGGATCCTGGCTTCGGGTACGCGAATTCAGTTTAATGTGCAAGGGTTTGTCGCCTCGGGGACGCAGAACTTAAATAATTTACAAGGGTTTGTGGCCTCGGGCACGAGAACATTGTTGGTGCAGGGCGCAGCAACCCTAATCCTACAGCCTGGTGGCCCCACAAGGGGGGCCGGCTGATTATTATCATTACCATCACTTCAGGGGTAATTTTAGGGAGGGTAGGCTCAGGGGAGGATGCATCGACACCGAATCGTCCATAGATCGCCGATAGGGGACCGACACTGCGGTTTGGCTATCTGGAGCCAGTCGGCAACGTATCGCCGATTCCAGGACGATTTCCTCCCATCCCTGAGCCAGTTCCATCCGACCGTTCCCCTTCATTCCCACCACCACCCTCGTAATCCCGCCTATCGTTGTCGGCGTCGTTCACCTCGTCATCGTGGCCGTTCTCCTGAGGCGGCCCCGCCTCGCACCACCGAGGCTCATTGGAGACCCCGTTCGGAGGAAAGGACTGAGGCAGCATGGAAGTCGAAAGGACGACGGTTGCGAGGCAGAAGAGCTGCCATCAGTGAGTTTGCGATCAATATTTCCACCATGGAAGGGCGTTGCGCGTCAGCCTCATATGGAGCATGTAAAGGCGCGGAAGCGAAAAATTGCAGCGGGCACTCGGACATCACGCGACTTGAGGTGAATGCTGATTTCGTGGTACATGCATTTGACTTCCATGCGGTGCCCACTGTCAACAGGAATATGTAGACGTGTCCCGTTTAACTACGTGCAAGCTCCATCCAGCGTTCCTCACGCTGACGAGTGGGACGTGAGATTGCAGTCTGCCCTATTGGCCTCCGCTTCCAGACAAGGAGGGCTCCATTCAGTTTGGGGAATCCACATCAGAACAGCAGGGCCCACCCTACATCAGAGCAGCAGGGCGCATCCCTTGCGCATGCCATCTCAACGGTTCGCGAAAACACTTTCGAGAGGAGTTGGAAATCAAATGTGTTCCACACCCGGGCATCAAGCATGGGATTGCGATGTGATGATCTATGTGGACCCACGAAGTCTTAAACAAAGTGGATGGTCAGTCAAGCAGTGGATCGAACAAGTTGTTGTCCAGCACTGTATTGTCAATTGTTGGACCATGCATTGGAACAGCCAGTGGATTCCCTCACAGTTGATTCACAAATAGTGGAGTGGAGTCCCTTCACAAAGACGCTTTGCACAACACGTACCGACACTTTGTCGGGATTGTCCACGTAGTGAAGAGTGTCCACATAGCGGGTTCGGGAACCCCTGAATCCCAAATCCTTGTCATCTCTTGGAGGGCATTTTCTTATTTCCGCCGGCCTGCCGCTGGCTTCCGCCGGCGGAGGCGGCCTCGTTCTATTTCCGCCGCCTTCCGCCACCCTTCCGCCGCCTTTCGCCGAGAAGAGATGGCAACTCCTTCGGTCCTCGAAGGCGAGGCCATTTTTTGGGAACGCTTCACATTTTGAATCGCAGTATCCGGATGTCCTATGAACATGGAAGGCCTTCCGACCAGTGGCTGGAGATTCGTCGGCAGGTTTTCGGGCCCTCGGGGCAATCCACGGCCCCGGTGCTGTCATACACCGATTCAGGGTGAGCGGGTGAGCGACGCAAAGAACGGGGCCGTCTCCACCGACATTGGCGCGCAAGCTCCTCGCGTAAGGTCGCGCGTAAGCGCCCTGGTCTCCAATGCAGCAGCGGCCCGCGCAAGGTCGCTACGTCATCTCGCCTGCGGCTCCATCTTTCCGCCGCTCGAACGGTCCTGGGAGGAGGGCTCCCTGGGCCCAGGGCCCGTTCCCCGCCCCTGAAATCCGACGTCGCCAACAAGAATGAAACATCTACCAGCCTCGAACGTATCCCGATCCTTAAGATTGACACGCCAAAAGGCGATGACAATCTTAGGGATTCGCCCTCAAAAAAGAAGGGAATCCCTAAGATTGGCATCGTGGTGAGGAGGTGGCCAGTCTAGGGATAGGGATATGTTCCAGGCTGGTAAAACATTGCCAAAAGTCACGACCTGAGCCCCGGACCCCATGTCTTCGCGTCGTGATGCGAGCCAGATCGATCCGTGAGGGTCCCAGGGCCCGACATTGAGCGACAACGCGCGTCGTCAGAAGTTGCAGCGCCTGGATCTCCGGGTCGCGACCCGTTTGGCCCCCTGCTGGTGCCCGGGCATGCGCCTCCGCCGCCGCCCCCCCAGCCGTTCAGCACCTGCCCCTTGGCATCGCTCGGGCGTGTGCATTTTTTCTCGGCGAGAACCATCGAGGACCATCCTGGACCATCGAGCAAACCTGATATTGCCACGAACCCCGACCTTGGAGGACAAGTGGGCGTGACTTGCGAGGAAGATAAAAATGAAGAGGACGCCTAGTGGGCGCATAATGCTGATTCACGTGTTGTCCGTGTGACGCTGTGCCGCATTTGAAGGTAATTATGAAGGTTCCCGCGTTGTCCGTTTGATGCTGTGCCACTTTGTCGGGGGCGTCTACGACCATCTTGGAGCCCTGTTGGGCAATGTTCGGACCATCGAGGACCATCCTGGACCATCGAGCAAAAAAAAACACGCACGAAACCGAACAATGCACGGGAAATCGACGTCCGAGCGACGGCAAGGCCCACGTCACGGCGGGGGCCCCCCGCCGCGGACAGCCCCCTCTCGCGCCCCAGGGCGCGCGAGCACGGGGCGCGGCGCGTCGGCGAGTCGCGGGGGGGCCCTCGCCAGGGGTCGGGCGACGAAACCTCCCCTTTAGCATCCTCCTCCCTCTCCCTCTCCCTCTCCTCCTCCTCCTCCTCCTCCTCCTCCTCCTCCTCCTCCTCCTCCTCCACGCCCTGTGCTCCCTGGTCAGGCCCAGCCTGAACTCAGGAGCTGTGCATACGCCCTATCCTGACCAAGCCGGGAGGGCGTGGCGCATACACCGCTGCCGGGTTCAGGATGGGCACGGCGGCCAGGGAGCGGTGGATCGGAGGTAGTGGGGGGTGAGATCGAAGTGGAACGGAGGGCCCACCCACCGCGAAATCGGTTTCGGGTTCATGTCGCGCGTGCGGGCGAGGCGAAGCTATGTGGGCGGGCGAGTGGAATGAATCCACAGTGGCGGGGGCTGGTCAAGAGCGGTCGGCCGCCCCTCCTCCCTCCCCGGTGGACAGGGGGTGGCCGGGTTGTCCTGCCGTTGTGTCTTGTTGCTGTCCGCCTCTCCCCTGCGGTGGGCAGGCGGTGGCCTGGTTGTCCCGCCGTGGTGTCCCGTCGATGTCCCGTTGGTGTTCCGTGGCTGTCCCGTCGTTATCTCGTCGCTGTCCCGTCGCTGTCCCGTTGGTGTCCCGTCGGTGTCCCATCGGTGTCCAGTCAGTATCCTGTCGGTGTCCCTTGGTGTGATCGATAGTGGGATCACACCGCGGCGCAGCATCGTGACCACGCGTCGTCGCCAGCTCGAGGGCGCATCACCAGCATCGTCATCATCACAGCCATCGCAGTTGTCGTCAGCTTGTCCTTCCCCCCACCCACCAACCTCCTCATCACCCGAAGAGTGGTCGTAATTACAGGTATGTACAGATAATTACGGTGGGGGCGTTCGTTAAGGAATGCACCCAGGAGGCCTCAGACCCCGGAAGGTTCCTTAACTATCTGATGAGGGCGGCGGTGATTTCCATGGCCAATCCACGATTGGAGTTCCACTGGCTTCCAGACCCTGGATTCCGAATCGAAGGTTTCCTTATCCAATGCCCCCACCGTGTTCCGTAGCCATTTTGGCTCAAGGGGTGGCCCGAGGTGAGGCGGCCCCCAGGAGGGTCCGAGGCGGCCGCGCGGCGCCCGAGGAGCCGCGCATCGGCGGCGGAGCCCCGCCCTCCAGGCGCGGCGCGCGGGGCGGCGAAGATGGGCGACGCCGCGCCAGGGAGCGAGGAGGCCGAGGTGGGCGCGGCCGCCGCCGCCCTCGCGGCGGCGGAGCTCCTCCTCGTGACAGCTGGCGCTGGCTTCAGCGCCGACTCTGGCCTGCCCGTGTACGCCGACGTGGCCCAGCACGAGGCCTATGCGCGCCGCGGCCTGGAGTACGCGGACCTCTGCCGCCCGGGGCTGCTGCCCGAAGACCCGCGGCTCTTCTACGGCTTCTGGGGTGATTGCCTCGCGTCGTACCGCCGGACGGCTTGCCACCCTGGCTACGAGATATTGGAGAAATGGTTCGCGTCGAGGCCTCCCGAGAGCTGCTGCGTCTACACATCGAACGTCGACGGCCATTTTCGCCGCTGGCCTCGCCTGGGAGCCAACATGCACGAGATCCACGGCTGCCTGGAGGAATGGATGTGCTCCTGCAGCATGGCGCCGCGGCGCGAGCCCGGGCCGCCCTGGGCCTCGGGGGTGGCGGCGGCTCCCCGATCTTGCCCCCTGCTGGGCGTGCGCACGGCGCTGCCCCCGGGCTTCGACTTCCGCGTGGACCCGGCGACGATGCTGGCCGAGCTCGGCGACGAGGAGCCAGGGCCCCTGCGCTGCGCCGCCTGCGCCGCGCCGTTGCGGCCCGCGGTGCTGCTCTTCGGGGACGACGACGCTTCGCTGTGCAGCTGGCTGCGCGAGCGCGGCGACGCCTACCAGGCGTGGGAGGAGACCTTCGAGCAGCGCGCGGCTAAGGGGGCCCGCGCGGCGATCCTGGAGCTGGGCTGCGGCACCCGCGTGCCCAGCGTGCGGATCGAGAGCGAGGACGTCCTGCGGGACACCCTCGGCAGGGGCGGGAACTGCACGCTGGTGCGGGTGAACCCGGAGCTCCGTGAGGGCCCCGGGGAGCTCGCGGCCCACACGGTCTGCATCCGCGACACCGCGCTGTCGGCGTTGCGGCGCATCGATGCTGCGATGCAGGGCCACGGCTCGGAGGTGCAGGCGACCGAGGCGGCGCCCGAGCCAGCGCCGCGGCAGCCTGCTGCAGCCCCGCCCACGCCGCCTGCGGCTGGCGCTGGTAGCCTGATGGCTGCGCCGCCGAGCGCCACGGCGCCGCGGCGCCTGGCAGCGGCGGCCCCGCGGGCGGAGGCAGCCGAGCCGCGGCGGATCCGCCCAGGGCTCGAGGGCGTCCTCCGAGCCCACGGCTTCGCGGACGCTGCGGCGGCCCGCGAACGCGGGCGAGCCGCGAGGGCGGCGGCCGTCCCGCCTGCTTGAATTTGTTTGCATGAAACCGTGGACCTTTGTCCGCGCCCACAGAGATATAACAAAAAATGCCCCCACCGTGCTGTCGCCCTAAGGGGGCACCCCGCTGGCGCACATCGACGAGCGCTGTGTTCGGTGGCCTTGCCCACCGTCGGCATGGCGCCAGTCGGCCGATTGCCTCGCGCAGCGTGGTGCACCGCCGTGTCCTCACAGGTGAGCAACGCATGAGAACGGGGTCGTCTTGGCCGACGTTGGCGCGGAAGCTGCCTGCGTAAGGTCGCGCGTGAGCGCTCTCGTCTCCAGTGTCACGTGCCGCGCCGGCGGCCCGCGTAAGCCGCCGCGCGAGGTCGCTATGCCATCTCGCGTAAAGCCCGTTTTCGATCGTCGCTCAGGTGGCCGCTGTCTCTCGGGCCACACGAAAAGGGGGGATTGGGAAAGGGGGGGTTACGAAATCTGCTGCGTGCAGCTGGTTTCGGCCCCACCGAGGGGCCCATTCCTCGATACGTAGCCGCCTCCGGCGCCGGGAGGCGCCGGGAAAATCAGCTACGACGAAAAATAATCAACAAATAATCAGAAAATAATCCCCAGACTATTTTTGGATTATCTTTTGAGTATCTTGGGGGCCTCTTGGGCCCTCTTGGGGCGATCTTGGAGGCCTCTTGAGCCGTTTAGGGGCGTCGGGGAACCGAAAAGGTTAAAACGCCCAAATCTGTCCAACACCAAAAGGAAAAGCACAGGTTTTTGCCTCTTGGGGCCCTCTTGGGAGTTCTCTTGGAGGCCTCTTGGGGCATCTTGGAGGCTTCTTGGGCCATCTTGGAGACTTCTTGGGCCGTCCGGAGGCCATCTTGGGCGTCGTGGAGCGATCTTCGGGCGTCTCGGACCTCTCTTGGACCGTGTTGGGGGCGTTCTTGGGGCCCTCTTGGGCCGTCTTGGAGGCCTCGGGGGCCGTCTTGGAGCTGTCTTGGGCCGTCTTGGGGCCCTTTTGAGGGCCTCTTGGGCCATCTTGGGGCGATCTTGGAGGCCTCTTGAGCCGTTTAGGGGCGTCGGGGAACCGAAAAGGTTGAAACGCCCAAATCTGTCCAAAACCTAAGAAAAAAAACATTGATTTTTGCCTCTTGGGGCCCTCTTGGGAGTGCTCCTGGAGGTCTCTTGGGGCATCTTGGAGGCTTGTTGGGTCATCTTGGAGACGTCTTGGGCCGTCTGGAGGCCATCTTGGGCGCCGTGGAGCGATCTTCGGGCGTCTCGGACCTCTCTTGAATTGTGTTGGGGGCCTCTTGAAGCCCTCTTGGGGCGATCCTGGAGGATCTGGGGGGGTGTCCCGGGCGTGTCTCGGGCGTGTCCCGGGCGTTTCCCGGGCTCCTCCCGGGGTATTTTTGATCCAGGGACCCCAGGGGCCGCCCCGCGCGCGCGAACTAGAAATACTGTTTACCAGTTACCGGAGATCTTAGCACGCCTCTGGCCCGTTGGGCCGGCGAATTCATATTCTTGGTTGTGCTTACAGAAAACACGCAACCGACAACCTCCTCTCATAATTCACGCTGACCTCCAGAGCCCCCCACACATTTCCAGGACCATCCCAAGCTCATCCTCATCCAATCGAAATTGGAGGAAAACGCTGTGAAGGATCCAAGGGTGAGGGACGCGAGAAAAACTGAGTGTTGGGGATCTGGGCAGGGGGCATCTCGGAGAGCTCATGGATGCTTCTGGGGGTCTCTTCTGGGAGCATTGAGGAGCTTCTCAGGAGGAGTACTTGTGACCCTCTTGGGAGCCCTTGGAGGCTTCTGGGAAGCTTCTTGGGAGCTCTTGGAGGCCTCGTGGGGTCCTGGGAGCCCTTGGAAGCTTCGTGGGAGCTTCTTGGGAACTTTGGGAGGCCTCGTGGATGGCTCTGGGTGGGCCCTCTTGGTGGTCTCTTTGGGGGGTCTGCCTGGCCTCTTGGGGGCCTCCTGGGAGCTTCCTGGGGGTCTCTGGGGGGCCTCTTGGCGCTTTCTTGCAGCCTGTTGGGGGCCTCTTGGGGCTCTCTTGGGGGCTTCGTGGGGCTACTTGGGGGCTTGTAGGCGCCTTTCGGGGGCGTGTTTGGGCGGGAGGCTCAAAATTTCCGTTCAGGTTGCCCCTGTGGACCTCAATCATGGGGCCGTCTTGGGGCCTCTTGGACCGTCTTGATGGTTTCTTGGGCCTTCTTGCGGCGCTCTTGGGCCGTCTTTGAGCGGTCTTGAGGGTCTCTCGGGCCGTCTTGGGGTGATCCTGGGGGCCTCTTGGGCCGCCTCGAAAGGTGTGAAAGACGAAGAGGCGGATATGTAAAAAATGCACGTTTCCCCAAGGGAATGAGACGATTTTTGCTTGTGGGAGCCCTCTTGGGGCGCCGCTTAGGGACCTCATGGGGCGTCTTGAAGGCCTGTTGGGCCGTCTTGAGGCCACCGTAGGCGCTGGGGGATGGTATGTCGGCGTCTTCCGGCTCTCTTGGACCGTCTGGAGGGCTTCTCGGGCTCCTCTTGGACCGATTTGGAGCCCTCTTGGGCTCCGAAAAAGAGTTCTTGAGGGTTTAGTGGGCCTTCTTGCGGCGCTCTTGGGCCGTCTTTGAGCGGTCTTGAGGGTCTCTCGGGCCGTCTTGGGGTGATCTTGGGGGCCTCTTGGACCGCCTCGAAAGGTGTGAAAGACGAAGAGGCGGATATGTAAAAAATGCACGTTCCCCCAAGGGAATGGGACGATTTTTGCTTGTGGGAGCCCTCTTGGGGCGCCGCTTAGGGACCTCATGGGGCGTCTTGAAGGCCTGTTGGGCCGTCTTAGTCTTGAGGCCATCGCAGGCGCTTGGGAGTGATATTTCGGCGTCTCCCGGCTCTCTTGGACCGTCTGGAGGGCTTCTCGGGCCTCTCTTGGACCGTTTCGAGCCCTCGTGGGCTCCGACAAGGGACCTTGCCGGGAGTCTGCCGGGAGTCTGCCGGGACCTTGCCGGGAGTCTGCCGGGACCTTGCCGGGACCTTGCCGGGGTACTACCCCCAGGGCCCGCCCCGCGCGCGCGAACTAGAACTATTGTTGAGCAGTTACCGGAGATCTTAGCACGCCTCTGGCCCGTTGGGCCGGCGAACTTTTCGTCGAAAATCCCCCTGTAGGGGGACAGGCCCGACTTAGTGCTGTCCCCCCCTTTCGCCCGGCCTGAGTGAGTCTCGGCTCGGCATCGGAGTTGCCGCGATGCAGCAGCGGAGCAAGGCTCCTCCGCGGCATCGCTGAGGCAGGGGCCTCGCTCGGCCGGGCGCCGCGCCTGGCCAGGGGGCCAGCGGCGGGGGTGTTCCCTGCTTTGGGGGGGGTTCTGGGCGCGGGCGGCGTGTCCTTCACCGTGGCAGCGCTCGGGCGTGTGCAGTTTTTTCTCGGCGAGGGCCATCGAGGAGCATGCTGGATCCGCTGGCACAGAAAGCACGCACGAGACCAGCAAGAAGAAGGGGGAATGGGCGTCCGAGCGATGGTGGGTCACGCAGGGTTCTGCCTCGGCCCACGTGCGCACTGCACTGGTGACCGCAGTTGGGCCCAGCAGCAGCAGCAGCAGGCAGCAGCAGCAGCAGCAGCAGCAGCAGCAGCAGCAGCAGCAGAACAGCAAGGCACATCGTCACTGGCAAAACAGGGTGCGCCTGGAGTCAGAGGCGACATCACCCCTGTCCGCCAGCCGAGACGAATTATCTTGAGACGCCCGCTCATGGCAGCGACATCGTCATCGTCACCAGCACCCTCGCCATCTCCCTTCATCATCACAGTTATCTTCCTTCCTCCTGCCGCTGCGATCCCTGCTCCCCGCCCGCATGTGCCGGTAATTCCAGGCTCTGACACCGTTCGTATGGGCGCTCCCGCCGCCATGCTGAGAGCTCTTCTCGCCGCCCTCTCTGCTGCGGCAGCGGGGGGGATCCAGCTGTCGGATGAACCCGGGTCGGATGATATCGATCTAAACGGCGCGGGTGTTGCAGGCACCTTAGATCCGGAGCTCACGAACATGCATGGCGAGAAGTTCCACGTGACCACGGAGGGGGAGTACCTCATGGTCGGTATGCCGTCGGACGTCGATATGTCGAAGCCTGAGGATGCCGACCTGCTCATTGAAGCGAATTTTGCACAGGTGGGGAAACCGTGCGATGACCTCCTCATCCGAAAGATCACTCTCGAGGGGAAGGCACTAGGTAGCAACATCTCCAAGCTGGAGTTTTTCGTCGCGAGTGACACCTTCAACGACACCGCTTCCCTGGGGCTGACCGTGACCGATGACAGGGGCGTTCCCCAGACAAGTGAGGTCTTCTCCACTCCTCCTCCTCCTCCTCCTCCTCCTCCTCCTCCTCCTCCTCCTCCTCCTCCTCCTCCTCCTCCTCCTCCTCCTCCTCTCGCTTTCAGGGTCAAGCGGAAAAGGAGGAGGAGGAAGAGGAGGAAGAGGAGAGGGGAGGAGGAGTACGAGGAGGAGGAGAAGGAGGAGGAGGAGAAGGTGGAGGAGGCGTACAACACATTACTTCATGCGAGGGAGGTGGAGGAGAGGGAGTAGGAGGAGAGAGGAGGAGGAGGGGAGGAGAGGAGGAGGAGGAGGAGGAGGAGGAGGAGGGAGGAGGTGGAGGAGGAGGAGGAGGAGGAGGAGAGAGGAGGAGGAGGAGGAGGAGGAGGGAGGAGGAGAGGAGGAGGAGAGGAGGGAGGAGGAGGAGGAGGAGGGGGAGGGGAGGAGGAGGAGGAGGAGGAGGAGGAGGAGGAGGAGGAGGGAGGAGGAGGAGGAGGGGCTCCTCTCCTCCTCTTTCCTCCTCCCCTCCTCCCCTGTTGTCGATCATGACGACGAGGTGGAAGGCTTCCTTGCGGCGGTGCCAGGGTGCCAGATTCTCCGCCCACGCGGCTACATCCACCTGCCCACGAAGAAGAGTTGGCGCAGGCGCTCTGAGGAGGAGTGCGAGGAGGAGGAGGAGGAGGAGGAGGAGCAGCAGCAGCAGCAGCAGGAACAGGAGCAGGAGGAGGAGCAGCAGGAGGAGATGTCGGAACAGTTTTAGCGACAGGGGTGAGGCAAGGGCATGGGTGCAGGCAGCTCGGCAGCTGGGACCAGGAAGGAGGAGGAGGGGAAGGAAGGGGGCTGTAAGGAGGAGGATGAGCAGGAGGAGGAGGAGGCCTGGAAGGAGGAGGAGGAGGAGGATGAGGAGGAGAAGGAGGAGGAGGAGGAGGAGGAGGAGGAGGAGGAGGAGGAGGGATGATGATGAGGAGGAGGAAGAGGAGGAGGGCTGGACGGAGGATGAGGAGGAGGATGAGGAGGAGAAGCAGGAGGAGGAGGAGGGAGGCGGGCGGAGAAGGAGGAGGAGAACTAGGAAGAGGAGGAGGGAGGATCGTGCAAATTCTGTGCCTGGTAGGTTCGCGCCGCGTTGACGCGCCGGGGGCCCCAGCGCGCGCGCGTTCAATGTTGAAGGCCGGCGGTCGCCTGGAATCGGCTTGCATCGAACGACCGGCGCAGCCGGGAGGTCGCGATCGCTGGACAAGTGAAAGCAGCCCACCCGGGAAACCTCTGCCCCGCCGACCGACCTACCCCTCCTAGGTGGGGATATCCCCACCCAGGAGGGGGTAACCCGAAGGAGTTGGCACCCATATGCGTGTCAATTCCTTCGGGTTCCGCAGCGCCCATTCCCACCAGGTGGGGGGCGCCTCAGGCCAGCCACAATTGAGGGAGCTGTGGTCCTTACCCCCCTGGGGGGCCCATCAATTTCAACACCCCTCTCGAGAGATCGTCGATGCGATGGGTTCCCCCCGGGGGGTAAGGACCACAGCTCCCCCAGTTATGGCTGGTCGGCGTCTCAGTAGGAGTCGGGGTGGTTCTGACGGTGAGAACCGCGCGCACGTCATCGCGACACGAACCCGCAGCCCCCCCACCCCACGGCACGCGCAGTAGATTCGCGCCGGGTCGACGCGGCCTCGACCCCGCCGCGGGCGTTCAAGGTTGAACGCCGGCCCAGGACCGGTCGGTGGGAAACAATCTGAGCTATCGGGAAGCGCCGATCGTCCAAGGTCGAACGATCCACGCGGGGTCAGAAACTCGGAGCAGGGCCAGTCGACACAGCAATGGCTGCTCCCCCCGTCTGGCCCAAGCCCGCTCAAGTCGGTCCCAGCACCCTCTCGGGGCCCATCCTGACAGGTCGTTCGAGGCGGATCCAGCCGCGGCGGCGAGAAGGCTCTGGGATGCCCAAAACGATGAGAACACCAGTTATCAGGAGCGAAAGGAGGACGTACACGTACATGAATCAACGCTGGTTTCGAGAGTTCTCATTGCGCGAATGTTCGTATCACGCGGCCAGTCTCGCGGGTTAAGGGGCCGTGTTCATGCACATAGTTGGGCGCGTACGTCCTCTGTGGGCTCCCTAAGTGAGGGTCGCCGTTGTCTCGACTGGCCCTCCGAGAAGCCGGTGCCGCCGTCGCCGCGACACGAAGAACCTGCTAGGGGGCCACATGCGAACCCTACCCCCGCCCCCCACGATTTCTGAGGGGGAGGGTGGGGTTCACTTCGTTTGGGAGCTCCCGAGCGAAGTGAACCCCACCCTCCCGCTCAGAAATCGTGGGGGGTAGGGGTACAGTCGGGGCCCTGAAGAAGGAACCCTTTTCGTTGGGGAGGGGCTCCGCGTTCCTGAAGTGTTTGACAGCTTGCCTCAGGCTTTCCTTATGTGTTCGACAGGAAATCGAAGGTTAACTTATGGAAAAAAGGGGCCTCGTTCCTTATTTAGGGTTCCTTGAGCCAGCGCCCCGACTGTAGGGTTCGCACGTGGCCCCCTGCCTGCAGCAGGCTATGCGTACTCGGCCGGCGCTCCCCGGGCCTCGCGCGGGCACTCCGGACCGCTCTCGGCCTCGGGCTCGGCACCCCTCGGACGCGTGCACCTTGTCAGGAGGAAAAAACACACAGAGACACAATGAGTCGTCGATTCCCCTTCGAAAAGATGGGAGACTGTGGGAAGTGGGGGGCGAGACAAAAACCCAGAAAAAATTGGAACATGTGGGGAATCCTCGGACGCGTGCACCTTTTCAGGAAGAACAAAAACACAGAGACACAATGAGTCGTTGGTCCCCTTCGACAAGATGGGAGACTGTGGGAAGTGGGGGGCGAGACAAAAACCCATAGAATATTGGAAAATATGTGGGGAATCCTCGGACGCGTGCACCTTGTCAGGAGGAAAAAACACACACAGACACAATGAGTCGTCGATTCCCCTTCGAAAAGATGGGAGACTGTGGGAAGTGGGGGGCGAGACAAAAACCCATAGAATATTGGAAAATATGTGGGGAATCCTCGGACGCGTGCACCTTGTCAGGAGGAAAAAACACACACAGACACAATGAGTCGTCGATTCCCCTTCGAAAAGATGGGAGACTGTGGGAAGTGGGGGGCGAGACAAAAACCCATAGAATATTGGAAAATATGTGGGGAATCCTCGGACGCGTGCACCTTGTCAGGAGGAAAAAACACACACAGACACAATGAGTCGTCGATTCCCCTTCGAAAAGATGGGAGACTGTGGGAAGTGGGGGGCGAGACAAAAACCCATAGAATATTGGAAAATATGTGGGGAATCCTCGGACGCGTGCACCTTGTCAGGAGGAAAAACACACGCACAGGCACAAGGAGTCGTCGATTCCCCTTCGACAAGATGGGAGACTGTGGGAAGTGGGGGGCGAGACAAAAACCCAGAAAATATTGGAACATGTGGGGAATCCTCGGACGCGTGCACCTTTTCAGGAGGAACAAAAAAACAGAGACACAATGATTCGTCGGTCCCCTTCGAAACGATGGGAGACTGTGGGAAGTGGTGGGCGAGACAAAAACCTAGAAAATATTGGAACATGTGGGGAATCCTCGGACGCGTGCATCTTGCCAGGAGGAAAAAATCACAGACACAATGAGTCGTCGATTCCCCTTCGAAAAGATGGGAGACTGTGGGAAGCGGGGGGCGAGACAAAAACCCAGAGAATATTGGAAAACATGTGGGGATTCCTCGGACGCGTGCATCTTGCCAGGAGGAAAAAAAACACAGAGACACAATGAATCGTCGGTCCCCTTCGAAAAGATGGGAGACTGTGGGAAGTGGGGGGCGAGACAAAAACCCAGAAAATATTGAGGATGTGGGGAATCCTCGGACGCGTGCATCTTGCCAGGAGGAAAAAATCACAGACACAATGAGTCGTCGATTCCCCTTCGAAAAGATGGGAGACTGTGGGAAGTGGGGGGCGAGAGAAACACCCAGAAAATTTTGGAAAAATGTGGGGAATCCTCGGGCGCCTGCATCTTGTCAGGAGGAACAAACGCACAGACACAATGAGTCGTCGATTCCCCTTCGAAAAGATGGGAGACTGTGGGAAGTGGGGGGCGAGACAAAAACCCAGAAAATATTGGAACATGTTGGGGATCCTCGGACGCGTGCACCTGTTCAGGAGGAAAAAACACAGAGACACAATGAATTGTCGGTCCCCTTCGAAAAGATGGGAGACTGTGGGAAGTGGGGGGCGAGACAAAAACCCAGAAAATATTGGAACATGTGGGGGATCCTCGGACGCGTGCACCTTGCCAGGAGGAAAAATCACGGACACAATGAGTCGTCGATTCCCCCGAAAAGATGTGGGACTGTGGGAAGTGGGGGGCGAGACAAAACCCAGACAATCTTGGAAAACACGTGGGGGATCCTCGGGCCCCTGCATCTTGTCAGGAGGAAAAAACACACAGACACAATGAGTCGTCGATTCCCCTTCGAAAAGATGGGAGACTGTGGGAAGTGGGGGGCGAGACAAAAACCTAGAAAAGATTGGAACACGCGGGGGATCCTCGGACGCGTGCACCTTTTCAGGAGGAAGAAAACACAGAGACACAATGAATCGTCGGCCCCCTTCGAAAAGATGGGAGACTGTGGGAAGTCGGGGGCGAGACAAACAACCCAGAAAATATTGGAACATGTGGGGGGTCCTCGGACGCGTGCATCTTGTCAGGAGGAAAAAATCACAGACACAATGAGTCGTCGATTTCCCCGACAAGATGGGAGACTGTGGGAAGTGGGGGGCGAGACAAAAACCCAGAAAATATTTGAAAAAAATGCGGGGAATCCTCAGACGCGTGGATCTTGTCAGGAGGAAAAAACACACACACAATGAGTCGTCGATCCCCCATTCGAAAAGATGGGAGATTGTGGGAAGCCGGGGGCGAGACAAAAACCCATAGAATATTGGAAAATATATGGGGAATCCTCGGACGCGTGCACCACACAGACACAATGAGTCGTCGGTCCCCTTCGAACAGATGGGAGACTGTGGGAAGCGGGGGGCGAGACAAAAACCCAGCAAATATTGGAACACGTGGGGGATCCTCGGGCGCATGCATCTTGTCAGGAGGAAAGAATCACAGACACAATGAGTCGTCGATTCCCCTTCGAAAAGATGGGAGACTGTGGGGAGTGGGGGGCGAGACAAAAAAACCCAGAAAATATTGGAACATGTGGGGAATCCTCGGACGCGTGCATCTTGTCAGGAGGAAAAAAACACAGAGACATAATGAATCGTCGGCCCCCTTCGAAAAGATGGGAGACTGTGGGAAGTGGGGGGCGAGACAAAAACCTAGAAAATATTGGAAAACATGCGGGGAATCCGCGGACGCGTGCATCTTGTCAGGAGGAACAAATCACAGAAGCAATAAGTCGTCGATTCCCCTTCGAAAAGATGGGAGACTGTGGGAAGTGGGGGGGGCGAGACAAAACCCAGACAATCTTGGAAAAAATGCGGGGAATCCTCGGACGCCTGCATCTTGTCAGGAGGAAAAATCACACACAGACACAATGAGTCGTCGATTCCCCTTCGAAGAGATGGGGGACTGTGGGAAGTGGGGGGCGAGACAAAAACTCAGCAAAGATTGGAACATGTGGG